CCCCCCCTTTTCCCCCCCAAGCCAGGGCGGATGGGGAGGTTCCGCCCCCCCCCCTTCCCCCCCAGACCAGGGCGAATAAGGGGTTTGGGCGCTGCCCCCTGTCACTCACAGAGCAGGGCCGATCAGGGGGTTGGGGAGCTCCCCCCGTCATGCACAGAGCAGGGCCGATCAGGGGGTTGGGGAGCTCACCCCGTCACGCACAGAACAGGGCCGATCAGGGGGTTGGGGAGCTCCCCCCGTCATGCACAGAGCAGGGCCGATCAGGGGGTTGGGGAGCTCACCCCGTCACGCACAGAACAGGGCCGATCAGGGGGTTGGGGAGCTCCCCTGTGTCATGCACAGAGCAGGACGGATCAGGAGGTTGCGATGCCCACCCTCAGTCACGCTCAGGTAGGGCCGATTGGGGGGTTGGGGCGCCGCTCCCGTCACACTCAAGGCAGGGTCGATGGGGAGGTTTCCGCGCCGCCCCGTCACCCACAGAGCAGGGCCGATCAGGGGGTTGGGGCACTCCCCCGTCACACTCAGGGCAGGGCCGATGGGGAGGTTGCGGTTCCACCCCGTCACACACAGAGCAGGGCCCATGGGGGGGTTGGGGTGCCGCACCCTGTCACACATAGAGCAGGGCCGAACAGGGGGTTGGGGCGCCTTCCCCTTTCACGAACAGAGCAGGGCAGATAGGGAGGTTGTGGCCCTGCCCTGTCACACACAGAGCCGCAGGGCGATCAGGGGGTTTGGGCGCTGCCCTGTCACGCTGCTCCAGGGGCCAGGAGGCCTCGCGGCTCCGCTGATCCCAGTGCTAGGAGGCCTCGTTGCTCCGCTGATCCCGGTGCTGGGAGGCCTCGCGGCTCCGCTTCACACAGGGGCAGTGAGGCCTCGCTGCTCCGCTGATCCTGGGTTCGGGAGGCCTTGTGGCTCCACTGATCGCAGGCCGGGAGGCCTCGCGGCTCCGCTGATCCCGGTGCTGGGAGGCCTCGTTGCTCTGCTGATGCCGGTGCTGGGAGGCCTCGCTGCTCCGCTGATCCCAGTGCTGGGAGGCATATTACTCTTTTACTATATAGGATAGAGGCCTGGTGCACGGGTGGGGGCCGGCTGGTTTGCCCTGAAGGGTGTCCTGGACCAGGGTGGGGGTCCCGCTTGGGTGCCTGGCCAGCCTGGGTGAGGGGATGATGGCTGTTTGCAGCTGGTCACACCCCCTTCAGGGTGGGGGTCCCCACTGGGGTGCCTGGCCAGATTGGATGAGGGGATGATGGCTGTTTGCAGCTGGTCACACCCCCTTCAGGGTGGGGGTCCCCACTGGGGTGCCTGGCCAGATTGGATGAGGGGATAATGGCTGTTTGCAGCTGGTCACACCTCCTTCAGGGTGGGGGTCCCCACTGGGGTGCTTGGCCAGTCTGGGTGAGGGGCTGAGGGCCGTTATCAGGCTGGTGGGTGACTGAAGCTCCTCCCAACCTCTCCTTTTTTTTCTTTTTTTTTTATTCTGGGATTTATTTACCTTCTATGGCTGTCACTGGAGCTGAAAGACGGCTTTAGCTGTGAGACCTCGGCTGCTGAAAGCAGGTTTCTAGGCTTTGTTTACCTTCTGTATTTGAAACTTTGTTGCAACTCCAGCTCTGAGATCCCAGCTGACTGAAAGCAGGTTTCTGGGGTTTTGTTTAGCTTCTATATTTGCAACAATGTTTCTTAGAGAGCAGCTCAGAGCTGTGCTGCAGCAGGCGGGGAATGTTGGCTTCCTCCGTCACTGGAGCAAGCAAGCCTCATGTTCACTTCAGTTGCCTGGCTGCTGACCGCCATCTTGGCTGGCAGTTAATTTGCATATCGCCCTGATTAGCCAAAGGGAAGGGTAGCGAAGTTACAGCTAATTACCATGTTTCTCTTTTATTAGATAGGATAGACTAGAGGGCCGGTGCATTCGTGCACCCGTGGGATCCCTTGGCCTGGCCTGTGGGATAGGGCCAAAACTGGCTCTCCGACATCCACTTAGGGGTCTCAGATTGAGAAAGGGCGGTTCTCAGGTGATGCACCCTGGAATCGGGCTCCTTCCGCTCTGGTTCCGGATGTGTCACCCAAGAACCACAGCTGCCAAGTCACTGCAGCTTGGCAGCTCTTGCATTGAGCGTCTGTCCCCTAGTGGTCAGTGTGCATCATAGCTACCAGTCGGACAGTCAAACGGTCATCTGGTCAGCCAGTCACTTAGGCTTTTATATATATAGATAGTAAGATAACATCAAAGTGGTGATTTACATATCCCCCATAAAACAGGGTCAGGGCTAGATGATTTAGGCAAATTCTATCATACCCACAAGAAACAAAAAATTATGATGTAATTTAAAATATATCAGAAAGAGACTGAAAGTTCAATTACTTATCAAAGTGGCACAATCCTGAAAACAAACCTAAAAGAAATAAAATCTATGGCCAATCTCAACTATAAGGACATATTAAATAAAAAAAAATTTAAGTTGCAAAAAGTACTACCAGGTTTTCATTGTAACCATTGTAGAGTTCATTCTATGAATAAAAGAATGGTTAAATAATAGGAGCTATCTATATATATAAAAGCCTAAGTGACTGTTACGACCGAACAACCAGTCGACCAGTCGCTATGATGCACACTGACCACCAGGGGGGCAGATGTTGCACACAGGAGCTGCCCCTGGTGGTCAGTATGCTCCCACAGCCTTGGGCTCTGCTCAAGGCTATAAAGTTTCAATTATAGAAATAAATCCCAGAAAAAAGAAAAAAAAACGAAAAAAGGAGAAGCTGGTAGCTTGGGTCGCCGGGGGGCATGGCCAGCCTGAAAACAGCAATCAGCTCCTCACCCAGGCTGGCCAGGCACCCCAGCGGGACCCCCACCCTGATCTGGGACACCCTTCAGGGCAAACCAGCCGGCCCCCACCTGTGCACCAGGCCTCTATCCTATATAATTAAAGGGTAATATGCAAATTGACCCTAATTGCAGAAGGACTGGGAATGACTGGTCACTATGACACACACCACCAGGGGACAGACGCTCAATGCAGGAGCTGCCCCCTGGTGGTCAGTATGCTTCCACAGGGGGAGCTCTGCTTAGCCACAAGCCAGGCTGACGGCTGCCAGCACAGCGGTGGTGGTGGGAGCCTCTCCCACCTCCTCAGCAACGCTAAGGATGTCCGACTGCAGCTTAGGCCTGCTCCCCGCTGGCAAGTGGACATCCCCCGAGGGCTCCCGGGCTGCCAGAGGGATGTCTGACTGCCAGCTTAGGCCCGATCCCCCCGGGGAGCAGGTGGACATCCCCCAAGGGGTCCGAGACTGCGAGAGGGCACAGGCCGGGCTGAGGGACCCGCCCCCTGCCCAAGTGCACAAATTTTTGTGCACTGGGCCTCTAGTAATAATAATAAAAACATATCATTGGGTGAGGATTAAAAATATATATACAGTTGACTCTTTAACAATATGAAGGCTGAGGTACTGGCCCATACACAGTTAAAAATCCATGTATAACTTTTGACCCCCAAAACCCAGTTGTCCCTCAGCATCCACAGGGGAATGGTTCTAGGACACCCTGCTAATAGCCACGTTGGCAGATACTCAAGTCCCTTATGTAAAATGGTGTAGAATAATGTATGAGCCAGCCTTCTGCATCTGTGGATTTGCAGCCCTGGATAGAAAATCTGGTTTTTGATCTGAATTTGGGTTAAGTCCGAGGATGTGAAACACAGATATGAAGGGACAAGTCTATACAGTGTACTGAAAAAGTTCTGCATATAAGTGGACCCACACAGTTCAAACTCATGTTGTTCAAGGGTCAACTGTAGTTAATGTTTAAGACTGAAGAGATATATACAGAATGAACAGAATGAAGTACTCCCACTTCCAATTTTACCAATAATTTTTGGTGGTATTAACAACACTAATAATGCATATTAGACATACTATGTATTATATATCAGAAATCTAAATGTGAACTGGAGCTATAAGCACACATTCTCCAATGAAGCACACATGTTCTCCAATGAATAATGCCTTTGCTCCCACTTCAAATAAAAAGATAGAAACTCCTAACACACATTCCCAAGGCTAAAAGTTTGTATCCTAGGATCCAACCACCAGTTTTTTCCCAGGAGACAATCAGACAGAGATATAATCAGAATCAGTGCTTCTCATCCTTTTTCATAATAGCATGAGGAGAAAATGATAATATTTTAAAGGCACAAGTGTAGGTCCTAGGTTGCAGGCTCAACTACTCCAGGAATAGGGGGCAGGGGGCCAACATCTCAACACAATGAAACATATCTGTGGCACAACATACTTTGGTAGTATCACTTGGAAAACTCTTGTCTACTAGGTGTACTGGTTAATAATGCGGATTTTTTTCAATAGATGGAGTTACACATATGTTGATATATATATGCGATTTGATATGTATGCTATTTTGTTGTATTGACAACAAGCTTCAAAACCTCATATGTCAAATTTGCTGAAGGTATTAACATCATAGATATTTTTACACTTAAAAATGTTGAATTTCGTGTAAAAACTGGGTGGTCTACATGCTGAGAAAAGAATTATCCATTAACAAAAGAAGAGACAACCAAGAGTTAAATTTATTAAAAGAAAAACACAAAAAACTTTGCTTGTTCATAAATTCTCACAGGAAAACAGGACACAGGTTTTTATTTATAATTATTTACTATAACTGAAACTATAATTACAAAAAAAAACACCCCACAATACACTGGACAGCCCAACTATTTAAAAAAGTTTTCCCTCTATAGATAATCTTCATTAAGACCTCAGATATTCTTTTTGCACAACAGTACTATTTGACTTAATGAAATAAACAGGCTAACTTCTGATAGAATAGTAAAGAATGAGTATGAAGTATTCTGCTTGTTCCAAAAGGGGAAATTGTCTTCCAAATCAAAACATGGGATTCTGGCTTTCATTATTCTTCTCTGAGGAGTCTGATTCACTTTAATCTCAATTTTACCATATTTCCAAAGGTATACAATATAGATAGAAATTAAAATATTCCAGTCCTTAACTTTTCTACCTTCTAAATAATAAATCTTAAAGAAAAATAAAACAACCCTAAAAATATTAATTTTGAGGAGGCATTATAAGTATTTTCTCAAGCTAAAACACTTGGTAAATAAATACATGCCTTAAGTAGTACTTTTCAAACAATACTCTGCAATTTATTATGTAAGGTCATGAAATTAGTTTTATGTGTTTGAGCAACATTTCACTAAGACAATGAAATACAAAAGAACAGAATAGAGAATATAATAAACTGCCGTAAGAAATTCATCAGTATTTGATTGTAAAATGTTATAGCTTTAGAACTGATAAATCTTCAATAAAACAACCAAGGCAATCAAATCACTGTATCTCATAAAATCTTCTAATAAACTTTCAAATGAGAAAATAATTGGAAATGGTTCCACTTCAAATAATTGTCAGTTATAGAGTTACAAAGTAAGGGTCAGAAAACTTTTCTTACAAAGTTTGAAACACTTGGGGCTTTGTGGGCTATGTGGTCTCTTGCAACTACTGAACTTTTACCTTGGTGGTGCAAAAACAGACATAGACATTACGTGAACAACCTATGTGGCAATGTTTCCATAAAAGTTTAATTAAAAAAAATCGGGGCTCACAGGATTCAGCCAGGCGTAGTTTGCTGACCGATGGTATTATGAATTTATTTATACTTCAGAATGCTAAAAACCTTACCTATTTTGATGAATCGACAAGGAAACATCTGTTCATCAATTTTATGCTTCAAGGTGAATGTTTCTTTGTTATAATCATTCTTTAAGCCACTGTGGGAAAAAAAAAAGATTGTCAAATCTGACTTCATAATTTAGTAACTGCACTAAAACTCAGATTAATACCACCCCCAGATTTTAAGGTTAAAATAATGCTAAAATATATGACCAAAGAAGTAGTTGGACATGAGAATATAGGTCAAAACTTCTACATTCGTATCATCTGCATTATTACGGTATTCTCTTAATTATGAGGGCTAGTGAAAAATGTTCAATATTAATTTAAAAAATGGAAATCTGTGATGACCTACATCCTTAATGTATAACTGAATATAACAAAATATTCAAGCCGTAAGAAGTAAAAAAAAAACAAAAAAAAAAACAATTCACCCTCATATCTTATTTATTTTCTCTTTTTTTACTTATTGTCTATAGTTTTACATATGTCTTTTTCCCCAATTGACCCTCCCCCCGAGCCATTCCCACCCCAGGCAAGCCCCCACTGCCCTAGTGTCTGTGTCCATAGGTTATACTAATATGCATGCACACAAGTCCTTTGGTTGCTCTCTAACCTTATATCTTATTTAAACAGGGCCAAAATTTGTCAAAGAATTCAGATATTTAATTAATGTAATGTAATTAGTATTAATGTAATCAGTGCTAATGTAATATTTACTTATATAATCTATTGTGCTAATGGGACATACCATGTCACAAATACATTCTAAAACCTCATGGTTTTATTTGTCCATTCCACTGGCTATTTGATTTTTCATTATCTATGAGGTAAATTAACCCTTTCATTCCTAGAGGTCTATGTTGTTAAAACTCAAATTTACTGAGCTCTTTCCAAGTGGTAGGCACTGTGCCAGGTTCAGTCAGATACTTTTTCTCTTTTTAGTCTCCAATTTAGAGTAAATTCCCAGAATATTACTTTTGGATAGGGCAACCAATATTAATGTTTTGTATAAAACCTATATATTTTTATTTTTTATTACTGAGAGTATTACAGATGTCTCCCATTTTCTCCCCTTTTGCCCCCCTCCACCCAACCCCACCCCACCCCAGGTCTTCCCCATGCTATTGTCTACGTCTATGCGCTATGCATATATGCATGTATGTTCTCTGGTTAATCTCTTCCTGTCCCCTCTCACTCCCCATTCCAGCACTGAGATCTGTTATTCTGTTCCATGCATCCATACAAAGAATCTACATTTTTTATAGCAAAGATTATAGCAAAGATTTGATTAAAGTTGAAAATATTTCTAAAGTCATTACAGTCCAAAAATAAGACTAAAAAATAAGTAGAAAGCCCTAGCCGGTTTGGCTCAGTGGATAGAGTGTCAGCCTGCGGACTCATGAGTCCCAGGTTCGATTCCAGTCAAAGGCATGTACCTTGGTTGCAGGCACATCCCCAATAGGGAGTGTGCAGGAGGCAGCTGATCGATGTTTCTCTCTCATGGATGTTTCTAACTCTCTATCCCTTTCCCTTCCTCTCTGTAAAAAATCAATAAAATATATTTTAAAAATAAATAGATAAAAATAAGTAGAAAAAGACAAAATTTTATGCTTTCTTGTTTGGAAACAATATTAACTGATATCGTTATAATTAACCCAGTTATTAATTAATTAACAGAAAAGGAGCAAAGGGAAGTCTAAACAACACAGGAATGCCATTTGTACAGCTTTGCCAGGAAACTGCAGTTGAACACTCTCCAGGTCTGTTCCCCACAGATCACTGGGGGAAGGGACTGGACAACAGACTCATGCCCAGTAAGATCTGGGTGACGTCGAAAGGTGCTTACCTGTCAGCCATATCTGAGAACAGACCATGGGCTAGAATAGGCATACCCACTGCAAGCACCGGAAGATTTAATATTTAAAATCCTGAACAAAGGGAGTTCCCTCTTGCACTTCTAACTCCCGTGTTGCAGGGAGCAAGCCATGTGGACCCCACACACAATGGACTGATGGACTAAAATTAGCCTGGTGCTGTGCCCGATTCAACTTCACCATGGAACAGAAACTATGGACACTGGCTTTGCTTCTAGCTCTGCTGAAGCTCCACCTGCAACTTTTCCAGGACTGGTTTAAGGGAAATGGGACTTTGGAAACTGAGGGATGTAATTTCATGTAAATAAGCCTTTCTACCAAATCTCATTTTCCCATAGGAGTCTTAAAAAACTCCTTTTCTCAAGATATCATAAGAATCCCACTCCCACTAACATTGGAGGAATCCACCCATGCAATTCTCCAATAACATTAACTAGAATCTGGTGGGGTTTTATTTATTTATTTTTTTTATAAAAAAGCTAACTCAAGCCATAACACTAAAATAAGTCCCTAGAAATAGAATAGTGGAAATATTCTTTCCTCCCTTGAAAGAAAAATCAAACCATGCAGATTTAGATATAAAAAGACTAAACTAAGACTGCACCTTGTTTAGAAGACGACGACTTCCACCCCATAATCATAACTCACCTGGACAATAGCTCTGTCATATTTTCTTCATTCATCCCACCAAAGACTTTAAATTTCTTCAAATTACAGACATGCGTTTTCTCATATTTTCCAAATGTGATATTCTGGACTATAGCAGGCCTTTCAAGCTTCAGAACCAAGTACTAAAAAAAGGAATGACCAAATTATATCCTCCTCTTTTTAAAAGAAAGAGACAACTTTAAAAGTTAAAATTTGGGACAGATAAGGGAAGTACGTATAAGGTCTATTCTGTCCATCCTGCACGGGTAGATTTTTATTTTAATGCTAAAGAATTGTATGCAATAGCCTTATATAGGCTACCATAACATACCACTTTTCCCCCGGAAAATACATCTGCAGATGGAGGAAAAAAGGACTAGTAGACAACTTATAATCAAGAAGTACCATTCAAGAAAAGATATAACAGACTATGAATAACCAAATAAAACAATATTAGAATGCAAAAATAACAATTACATTCTGATCGACTATAATAGCAAATTCAGTGTTCAAAATCAGTGATAAAATTTTAAACCTAGAAACAAACAGATTTACTAATCACTCCTGCAAATTTTATAAATTAAAACACCCAGACCTACTATAAATATGTCTAATGTAGCTCACATTTTTCTATTATACACAGAATAAAATGGGATTATTTTATCAGTTAATTAGGAAACACATTTTACATTATGCAGAATACTTTCAAATAACTATATATATAAAAGCCTAAGCGACCATCCAACTGGTAGCTATGATGCTCAATGACCACAAGGGGGCAGATGCTCAACACAGGAGCTGCAGAGCTGCGGTGACTTGGCAGCTGCGGTCCTCAGGTGACACACCCAGAACCAGAGAGGAGGGAGCCTGATTCCGGGGTGTGTCACTCGAGAATCGCCCTCTCTCAATCAGGGACCCCTCAGGGGATGTCAGAGAGCTGTTTTTAGCCTAAGCCCTGCAGGCCAGGCTGAGGGGCCTCTAGTAAAAATTAAAAAGGAAACTACCACTGACTGAATACATGGGGAAAAAGCTATACAGAAAAACAACTCATCATGCTGTAGTGGCTTCATGGTTCATATCAATGGGTAATATAGGTGATAAAGGTGATCAGAATGAAGTTGGTGGTCCTACGTCATTCCATATAGAAAAATTAACTCAAAATGAATCAAATTAATCCAAATGGCTCCTCTAAGATCAAAGATCTAAATGTAAGAGCTAAAACCATAAAGTTCTGAGATGAAAATATGAGTAAATCTCCATGACTTGAAATTTGACAATGAATTTTTAGATATTGACACCAAAAGTTCAAGCAACAAAATATAGAGAGACTTCATCAAAATTAAAGTTTTGTGTATGAAAGGACATTATTAAGAAATCGGAAAGACAACCTACAGAATAGAAATATTTGCAAATAATATATCTTATAAGGGTTTAATATCTAGAATATATACAGAATCCTTATAGCCCAACAACAAAAAGATAGAAAACTGAATTTAAAAATGGGCAAAGGACCTCAATAACACTTTGACCAAAGAAAATAAACAAATGGCCAATGGACAAGTTAAAAAATGTTCATTAGTCCTCAGGAAAATGCAAATCAAAACCACAATGCAATAAAACTTCACACCCACTAGGATAATCCTATATCATAAAAGCCTAATATGCTAAGTGTCTGGTTGGCCATACAGCCAATCAAAGCATACTATACTAATGATATGCTAAGGCCATTCAACCGCTCACTATGAAGTGCACTGACCACCAGGGGCAGACAGTCAACTGGTTGACCAATCACTCTGACATGCACTAATCACCGATGCTCTGACTGGTACGTTAGATTGCTGCTGGGGTCCGGCTGATCGGGACTGAGCAAGATGGACCAGACACGCCCTGGAGCCCTCCCAAGCTGGCCAACTTCCGGCATCCCTCCCCAGCCCCGATCATGCCCCGGTGGGGTCTGCCTGGCCTGCACCCTCTCACAATCCGGGCTGAGGGACCCCTCCACCCTGAGTGCACGAATTTCGTGTACCTGGCCTCTATTACAAAAATAAAATAGTAAGCATCAGTGTAGTTGAAAAAAACTGTAACTCATACACTGCTGGTGGGAATGTAAAACAGTGCAGACAATGTAGAATATAGTTTGGCAGCTCCTCAAAAAGTTAAATATATAATTAACCCTTTGCACTCCGAACCATTCTGGACATTGGCTACCAGCTACTCGACGCTACTTTGCGGTGGAAACGTGCATTTACAGACCCTCGTATTATTTAGTATAATTTTGGAACCAAGTAACGTATTATAATGATATTGGACTTATATGAATTGGGTGACATCGAGGAATGTATATTTGTAAAAAAAACAATATTTTATTGTTTATAATTTTGTACAGTATGATAAGTTTTGTAACACTCCCCAATATGCATTGCAGGCTGATTAGTGCATGTTTGACAGTAATAAGTGGTTTGACGCCTGCCACCAGGTGTTTTCCTGTTAGAACACACAATGCAGTCCCGTTTTCTTTGTCCCACATCAGGAATATGTAGTTTATTGTTTAATCCGACACAAAACCCGCTGACATTTCTTGTATATATCTTAGTAATTTTACGATATTTTGATTTAATTTCTTGTGCCATTTCAAGATAAAACTTCAGGGAAACATGCATGTCTCAAAAAGTTGCGTTGAAATAACTCAATTCCCCGTAATCACTAATAAACTGCAATGTCCCCTGAGAGGGGACATCCGAGTGATATGCTAGAATTCCGATGTCCCCTGAGAGGGGACAGCGGAGTGCAAAGGGTTAATTACTATATGGCCCAGGAGTTCTACTTTTACATATATATAAAGTGAAAAAGCTATCCAAACAAACTCTTGTACATAAATGCTAAGAGCAGCACTATTCACAATGGCCAAAAAATGCAAACAACCCAAATGTCCAACAACTGATAAGTGGATGAACAAAAGGGAATATTTCTATTATTCAGCCATAAAAAGGAATAGAGTACTGATATGTGCTACAATGTGGCTACACCTCAAAAACATGCTAAGTGAAACAAGTAAAACACAAAGGTCATATATTGTATGGTACCATTTCCATAAAATATTCAGAACAGTTACATCCATTGAGGTAAGAAAGGAGATTAGTGGTTGCCAGGAGCTGGGTTAAGGGGAAAAGAAGAGTGCTTAATTGATACTAGATTTCTTTATGGGATGATGAAAATATTTTGGAACTAGATAGAAGTGATAGTTGTACAACACTGTGACTATACTAAATACTACTGAATTGTACACTTTAAAATGATTAATTTTAGGCTGTGTGAATTTCATCTCTAAAAAATAAAAGAATGAAGCTGGTGATGACATGAAAGATAAGATCAGAGTTAATACTTTGTGAGCAGTAAGTCTCTTGTCTGTCACACTGTTCAGATTTTAACATGCATTATCTCATTTTAGTAGGAGGAGGAACAGGAGTAGTATTTTAATAACAACAATTATCCTCTTCATCCTCATTTCACAGATGAAGAAACTGCGGCTTGGAAAGGCTAAATAACTTGACTATAGTTACACAGCTAATAAATGACAGAGCTGAGATTACACATCAGCCAATCGGACTCTGGTTGACACTGTTGGTTGGCTAACCCAACCTCCATTCTCAAGCCAGTTCTCCCTAGCCACGTTCCAGCCAAGAATAAATGTATGACAAATTCTTGTTCATTTATTTTGACTTTTAGATTCAATTCTTGATGGATATGTATTTATTGCCTTTTTATTGTTCATGTTTTTTATTTTTCCTTCTTTTTTTTTTTTATTTGACCATGAACCATTTTTTTTATTTAATACTTATTAAGAGTACACAACTTGTGGGTGGGGGAGCTGAGCTCTGAAACCTAGAGCTAAAGCTGGGAGACGGGAAAGATGCAGACCACCGGGGCACTGCTCATCCCTCCGGCTCTGATCCGCTGCTGCACCAGGGGTCTAATCAGGCCTGTGTCTGCCTCCTTCCTGAGTAGGCCAGAGATCCCATTGGAACAGCCTTCCTACAGCAGCTCCCCACTCCAGGTGGCCAGACGGGAGTTCCAAACCAGTGTTGTCTCCCGGGACATGGACACAGCGGCCAAGTTTATTGGTGCTGGGGCTGCCACAGTGGGTGTGGCTGGTTCAGGGGCCGGAATTGGAACAGTGTTTGGCAGTTTGATCATTGGCTATGCCAGGAACCCGTCTCTCAAGCAGCAGCTCTTCTCCTATGCCATTCTGGGCTTTGCCCTGAGGACATGGGGCTCTTCTGTTTGATGGTCGCCTTCCTCATCCTCTTCGCCATGTGAGGCTCCGTGGGGTCACCTACCCGTCCCTGCTGCTTCGATTCCAGGCCCGGTGCTGGAATGTGCCCATTAACCACCAGATTTCTCTTCGAGTCGCGCTGCTGGGGGTGGTCCGCGGGGAGGGCGCCGCTGGTAGTGGCCCAGGCTTTGGGCTCCGGATGGAGCAGGGCGCCCAGGTACACGGTCTGGGTCTCGGAAATGTGGATGCTCGCTACGGAGCCCATGCTGGTGGCGGAGCCCATGCTGGCGGCGGCTGCTCTCCGGTCAGCAAACGGTCAGCAAACGGGCCCGCCCGGCGCCTCGCGGCCACCGCCAGCGCCGCGGGTCTCACGTCAGGAAGCGTGGCCGCCGCTTTTATCACGGGGCAGCAGCGGCGGCACCGCGGAGGGGGCGCTGGGGCGGGGCGCCCCGGACGCCCCCACCGAACATGCCCTCCCCAGGCGCCCGGCGGCCCTCAGCCCAGCGGCCCTCACATCGCCCACTCACCGGGCCGGCCTCGCTTCCGGGAAACTCTGGGGAGGAGATTCGCGCACTCCCCGCCGGGAGTCCCGCGGCGCCGAAAGAAGCGTACCGGCGGCCTCACGGCGCCCACCCTGAGGCCCGGGCCTGAGCGGAGCTCATCGGGCGGCCGCCGAGAGGCAGGGAGCGCCGTCGCGGGTTTGGAGGCAGCGCCACGCCCAGCGCCTAGGGGCAGCCTCTTTTTCCTCCTTTTTAAAGAAGACACTTCAACATATCATGTAATATTGGTTTGGTGGTGATGAACTCTTTAGCTTTTTCCTTGTATGGTAAGTTCTTTATCTGACCTTCAATTCTAAATGATAGTTTTGCT